CCTCCGCGGTCGTCTTCGACGAGTGCACCTCGACTTAAGCTAGTCATATTAGACAGCTTTCCGTGACTTCAGTGACTGCAGTGCAGCAAGATGTTTCCACAGTTCACACTGTGTTCACTCAGGCCGCGCTGGGCCTAACTCGTCTGGCTTTATTCTCAGCTGTGCCTGTGAAATCCTTTTAGTGCATTGATGTTTCTTGGGCCACCGTACAAGCATATACTCTCTGACTGTGTGGTTTCGGACCGTGGGCGTGCAAAAACTTGGTGATTTAGCCATGTGCCCGTCCCATGGGGTCCAAGGGGTCCCGGGAGGGGGTCCCAAGTCCCAGCGGAGCTTTCTGTCCTGGTCCCTGGAAACAGGGGTCCGGGTTCTCGTGGCGTTCAGCAACCCAGGATCTTGGATCCTTAGGACTCTTGTCCTTGGGCTGAAGAGTCCGGGATCTTAGCATTCTTGGGGCCTTGAGAGCTGAAGATCGGGATCTTGAATCTGAGAGCTAAATTAAGAAGCTGGGGGGAGTGGGGTGAACAATGAAGACGTGTGTTTGCGTTATAATGCGGGAGAAGAGCGGGAAGGGCGGCGCGCTTGAAAGCTTTCAAGACATACGAAACAGCACGCCACAGAAGACATGGCCTGGGAGAGACAAGTGGGAGGATGGATGCGGAGAGAAGATTCTGTGAGGGGAGGGCCCGGCAAGGGTGATAGTCGAAGTGCACGCGCGCCCCAAATGGCAGATAGCACCCTGCCGAGGCCAATGGAAATGTCATCCTTTTTCGACATGGCCGACCTTTGAAAGGCCAGAAGCAGCTAGCACTCCATCGGCGCGCTAGAGGGCTAGGTGGAACTGATGCTGATCCTCGTCAGGATGCACCAGAAGTCCTACTCCTCTAGATTTTTAGGTATGTCCTTGGCGCTCGCGTTCTTCGCTCTGTGGACCATGGCAGCTATAGACAGTGGAACGATGGAAAACCTATGGGCCTGTAAGCCATGCGCACCAAAACAATCGATACAGCGAAACAATCCACGTGCCTCCATGCTGCGATGCTGAACACATTGGCTGCTTACAAACAGCTTCGTGAACCCCAGCGCGTTTGTGTGTTCCATGGCAAGTTGAGGGGTGTGACCTCATGAGCTTGTCTTTCTGCAGGGCCCCCAGCCAGTCGGAGGAAGGGCCCGGGCCTCGTTGTAGGAATACTTGGAGACGGTTGATTTGTAGAGACCAGGGTTTTGATAGCGGTCCAGGGCTTAGGAGCTTCGGTAGCGGGCATCCCCTAAACCTTCCACCACAAACTCTTCAAGCCTCACTGCGTACTCACACCTAAAGGCTCTTCCTGCCTTCGCCTCAGCACATGCAGTTGCTGCCCTTCATCCTTCCCCTGCATATGGGGAACCCGCAACCCTGGCGCCCGAAGAAAAGTGAAGTTAAAGGAGCCCTGCCTAGTAGATCGAGCTCTTCGATAATGTGGTGTATTGTCGGATGTTTCCTGTCTGTTTGAGCGCCTGCGCTAAGTAGCTCGTGAGCGAAGAAGTGTGCAATTTGTCCGGCTGCGTCACGGTCAGAATTGCTTATGAAGGTTGACGTGCTCAGGGCTTTGAATCTTACAGGATCGATAAATCGTGGTGGTACGGCCAAGCTTGCAGATGTCCGCGTGTACATGCCGCTGTAATGCTGCATGGCAGCAAGCCCCTCCCCTTCCCCCCCTCTCTACGCAGGCCTTTGATGTGGATGAGCCCTCGCTGCCAGATGTAGCTGCCATCGACCGTGCGGAAAACCGAGCGACAAGTTTCCCCCGACTTCTGCTTTTGATAAGTCTTGCCGACGTTCGCTTAATTGCAGTTGCTGTGCATTTGTCTCGAACAAGTTTCTTCGGGATGGAATTCTTGGGCGGCGCAGGACACATGTTGGATTTGTTGCTTTCAGAAAACATGAAGGGCTCTCCCGGTTTGACATGGATGAGCCATTTCCCACCTTGCAGGCCCGCGCTGTCGATGTTGCTTTTCCACTAGCTATGTCGCGAAAGCAAAGTTCGCAACACGGGTCTCTTGTGGTACCACAGTCACAGTTTCCACCCTCAAGAAGGCATGCCCAAATCGTCGAGCCGCTTGCGGTGCAAACCTCGAGGTCGAAGCTTGCGTGTTCCGTGTCCGAAACCCTTGGACATGTTATGTCACGGAGGTAGCTTGCGCCGTGCAGGGTGAGACACGCCACGTGTCCATGCCGCTTGCCCAAACAGACCCGATTGTGTGCCAGTCTAAGTGCTTGATGCGCGTGGAGAAAGTTAGACCAGGCATGTGCGGACCTAGCTGCCAACACAGACAGCCCGACACCACTTAATTGAGGAACATGCCTTATTCCATGGTGAAGACTATACAGGCCGAGGAGCTGTTAAGCTGTTAAGCAGTGATCACGCGTTTGCTTCTGAATTTTGGTATGTCAATTAGCTACCCCCCCACGTAGCAGCCATGGCATCAGAAGTCATCAGGGCTGCGTGGTCAGCGCCCGAAGCCTTGCTGGCCCCAGGCCCCGCTTGGAATATTAGTACTATTATTGTCTTGTTATTATTATTATTCTTATTATTATTATTATAACAACTATTAATATTAGTCTTATGAATAATGCTATTACTATTTTTATGATGATTTTCCTGATTTGGAGGTTGTCTTCGAAGCTACTTTGCAGGGCTTCTGTTGTGACAGATGCTTCGGAGACTGTGGGATGATGTGCTTTGCAAGGTCTGAGCCGGAATGGCCGGTTTATGGAGGTTTTTCAGCATCCCTAAAATGCTGAACCCTAAGCCCGAAACCCTAGGGAACTGCTTTTGGCGTCGTACTTTTGGGGGCTTGGAGTTGAGAAATGCCGAACATGGCTGGTTCCTGCATTAGCCCTTCTGAGGTTTAGGGTTTAGGGTTTAGGGTTTAGGGGTTTAGGGTTTAGGGTTTAGGTTTAGAGCTTGGCAAGCCTGCGCTGCGCCTGCGTATTCGGAGGAAGCTCCGATTCGGCATCCGCGAGTTCAAGAAGGCCAGCCGTTTTTAAGTGGATTTTAAAGGATGCTTGGAGGGTTAGGGTTTAGGGTTTAGTGTTTAGGGTGGGTTTTAGGAGAGTTTAGGGTCTAGGAGGTTTAGAGGTTTGAGGGTATAAGTTTTGCTCGTGCAGGGTTTGGAGGTTTTTTTGTGCTCGTATGGGGAGGGTTCAGGAGCCGGGACGTGGCAGTGTATAGCGTGCACACATGACGGCGTATAACCCTAAAACCCTGAAGGACCTATGCCCAAAACCTTGCGATTCTAATTCTATTCTGCCAGTGCAGGCCGCCGGCATTAACCCGCTGTAGCTAGACTTGAGATGACAATCGTGTGTGATCCGATCCTGAGCCCCAATCTCGTTGCATGTGGCAGCGGCTTAGAGCGAGTACACGTAGAAGCGTCGCAGACATACCATGGGATTCAACATCTACGACGAGAACCAAGTCGCTTTATCCAGGTACGAGGGGACTGAGAAGCAAGTCTTGGCCGAAATCTTCATCCAGCATGCCGTGGGAGGGTGTTGCCAGTGACCCCCTTGGTATGCTGCCAGCAAGTCCTTGGCCCGGGAGTTTCCTGTGCAGTTGGGAGCTTGGACGACCCGGCCATCCTGGGTCGGTCTTCCAGATGATCGACGACAAACCATGATGGGATCCTGGACCAGGACAGCCTGCCCAACTAGTGCTCGGCAAGGTTGTAAGTTCCGAAGCCCATCTACATCTATTTGAACCCTAAAACCCTTAAACCCTAAACCCTAAACCCTAAACCCTAAACCCTAAACCCTAAACCCCAAACCCTAAACCCTAAACCCTAAAACCCTACAAAACCCTAATCCCTAAAACCCTACAAAACCCTAATCCCTATACCCTATACCCTCAATGCCATTTTCCTTCAGGACGAGTTTGTGCTCGGCATCTACGAGCTCCTGCACCCCAGCACGCAGGCAAGGGGTGTCAGGATTCTTCAGGGATGTTTTGTTAGGGGTTGGGGTTTTTTTAGGGAGTAAGGGTTTTAGGTGTTTTGTTTTTTTTGGATGTTAGGGCAGTGGAGTCTTAGCTGTGGAGACTTTTGGGGGTTTCCTTGCAGACGAAGTTTCTTGGCAAGTGTGGCACATGGGGCGTGTGTAATCTTTCAGGTTTAGGCCCGCTCAGTGGTGACGTCAAGAAGTTATGGTAGCTTTTTGTGTTTAGGCTCTCGGGGTGCCCAAGGCCCAAACCCCTAAACTGAAAAAGAAGGTGCCAGATTGGGATGCTCCCCCTTTATACTAACAGGCCTGAATAGGGATTAGAGTATTCCTTACTATAATCCCTATACCATGTAGGGCCCCAGGTATGAAGATGGGGGGCCGTATCATGACAGGGGCCCAACAGGGGACCATAGCGGGGGCGTCATACGCACACAGAGGTCCTTGAAACCATAGCCCAGAAGCCATCCCAAAGCCCTAAACCCTAACACCCTTCACACATCGAACCCCCTTAAGCCCTTAAAGCCCTTTAAAACGTGCAGAGGAGGCGAAGACCTTGGCCGACCGGATTGCCAGGGCGGTGCTTCCCCCGGCCGACAGCAACTTTGACCACGTGAAGTCGGTTGCCATCATCGGCGCGGGCGTCGCTGGCCTGCAGACGGCTCGACGGCTCACGGAGATTGGGCTGAGCTGCACCATCTTCGAGAAGTCCGAGAATGTTGGGGGGGTGTGGCAGAAGAACTACGCGGACTTTGGCCTGCAGGTGCCCAAGGAGCTCTACGAGTTCCCAGACTTCCCATACCCCTCCGACTTCAGGTGCGACCTTTTCCCTGCGGGCTCCGAGGTTCAAGCCTATATCGAGCTCTACGCCAAGACCTTCAAGTTGTACGACATCATTCAGTTCAGGACCTTCGTCCTGGAGCTGCAGCCGGCCGGTGGCAAGCGTGGCTGGACTGTGGTCTTCGAGAAGGAGAAGCAGCAGTCCTCCCAGACCTTTGACTACCTGGTGGTGGCAACGGGCATGTACAGCTGGCCGCCGCACCTCCCGGTGGCTCGAGGCTCCTCCCAGTTCAAGGGCCAGATCTTGCACTCAAGTACCTTCACAGACCGCAAGGTTGCGGTGGGCAAGAAGGTGGTGGTGGTGGGGGGCGGCAAATCTGCCATCGACAATGCCGTCGCTGCAGCGAAGGAAGGCGTCTCCACCACTCTCGTCTGCAGGTCTTGGCACTGGCCCGTGCCGCGCTATTTGCTGAACCTGGTCCCCTTCAAGTATGCGACCTACAGCCGTTCCTGGGCCTCTGTTCTAAGGAACTTGAACAAATTCATTCTGATTATCATTAACATTAGTGTTATGATTATCATTACTATTTGCCATTATTTTACTTTCCTATTGCAACTTGAATTGTTTCATTCTCATCATGATTTTTCTCATTGTCATTATGATTTTATTACTACTACTCTTATTGGGTATTCTTATTAAGCTTATGGTTGTTCTTCTTGTCACATCCCTGGCAGCAGCCCAGGTTTCGGACACTGGTTCCTGCATCCCCACCATGCGGAGAATGCCGCAGCCACCTGGCTCCACGGAACGTGTGCCCCGGTGAAGTGGATCTGGTGGCGGGTCGTGGAGCTCCTCTTTCGCGGCCAGTTCCAGATTCCCAGAGGTATGGTTCCCGAGGAGGCCATTGATACTGATCTCTTCAGTGGTGGCCAGATCCTCAACTACGAGTTCCGGGACATGGTCAATGCTGGGAAGATCCAGGTCATCTCCGGGGCAATAGACAAGTTCACGCAAACAGGGGTCGTGCTTGTGGATGGCTCGGAGCTTGATGCGGATCTGGTGGTGTACGGCACAGGGTTCACGAAGAACTACGACATCTTCGACAAGGTCATCCAGTCGAAGCTCGGGATCCAGAAGGATGGCCTGTACCTCTTCCGCAACATCATCCCGCCCCAGGTCCCAGACGTCGCCTTCATTGGCTGCGAGGTTTCAACTTTCAACAACATCTTGACCCACGGGCTCCAGGCACCCGCAGAACCCTTGAAGCCCTAAATAAAGAACCCGCTCTCAGAGCCCCCAAAGCCACCAGGTGGGGAGGTTAGAAATTGGAGGGACTTGGGGTTCAAGCTGACCCTACACCTCGGAATCCCAAAAGCCACGGTTTGGGCCAAAGCTTGGCTAAGAGAAGTCTCGAAAACCCGAGAAATTAAGCGGGGCTCCCAGGCGCTGTGGCTGCAGAAGATGCTCCAGGGCCAGGTGAAGGTGCCGAAGACAGGACCCTGCGGGGGGGGGAGGGGGGGAAGTGGTCAGAGAACTAGGGGGGATTGGGGTTCCCTGAAGGTTTGCAGGGATTTCCAGGGTCTTCATATTCAGGGCATTCAGGGTTCAGAGTTTAGGGTTTGGGAGGGTTTGTTTGGGGTCCGCTGCGTTTCATGCTGAGCCCAGGCGTCATGGAGAGCGTGATCGAGAAGCTAGGTTGGCAATCAAGTATCAGGGGACTTTGAGCCTTCTCATTTGGTGTGGTCTTCTTTCATGCTGCAGAGGTTCATATGGAACTTTACGAAAATCGGGGACCCCTAATTTTTGACCCCAAACAGTAGGATCCCTTGTCATACGGACCCCAATAA